GATATGTTCTTTTTGACAATGAATGCAACACCATTCATCTTCAATTTATCATTCCCTGCATAGTAAACCATGTGGTTATCAGATTCAAAATGGCCATTACCAGTCCATTTCAGCTCACTAATGCCTAAGATATCGATGTTGATGCGTTCCATTTCATTTTTGACAACTTCCAATTTTCCCAGATTCGTACTTCATACATTCCATGTTCCGATTTTCATTTGTGGAGTGGGAACCCCAAATGTCAAGGCCTAAGCTTTGCTTTCAAGGAAATATATAGACAAAGGCAGTGGTGGTGATATTCATATTCTGGAGCTCAGCTGTTTGCTTAGCTAAGCCAAGCCCATTTGAAGGAGATAGAGACTGGGACTCAAGACCAGGAAATCAGGGTAATACCATTTTCAAAGACACAGACAAATCTTCCAACTGCCTTGAGTGACCATAAAACTTGGAGACATTGGTCAAGAATCAACATATTACAGGTGAGATGCAATGTGCAATTAAAATTAGGAGAGGAGGCCAGACAGACAAGCTGTGGGCATAGAAGTACATTTGTCAAGCCTATTTTGGTTCCAATAACCTGAAACAGCCAGTTTGGCCAGAGTGATAGAAGTGTGACCTAGGACTTGAAGAGGGCAAAGCTACTTGACCCACCTTGATGTCTGTGCTTACAGCTTGATCCTAGAGTCTGATTTGTGCTTCCGTAGATCCTGCCTTGAGAAACATCTCTCAGCCTAAACCTGGTGGGACGTATAAAGAATGTGGGGGCTTTGTAGAAGGCCAATGGTGCTTCATTCTCTTTATAATGGGGGCACTCACTGGCTACATCTGGACTACAGCAGACTTACCTTCATCAAACAAGATGGTGGTGTTGCTTGTTATAGTAAATAAACCAAGTAACACATTTCTCATTATTGTTTCTCCATCATAACCTGAACTAGTCCCGAAAACTGGAAGCTTTGAAAGACATAAATACTGTTCTAGTCTGTGTGATCTCTATTTTTTAAATTAAAAAGTTAATAAATGTTCAATGAATATTTATTGAGTACAAGGAAAATGAACACTTCCATATCCTTATCAACTTTGCATCTGCTTTATTTATTGATTTCTAAATTTGTTAACCACCGCTCATCTGACAGTATGCTATACTGTGGTGGCTTGCGTGTTGCTATGATGCTAAAAGATAAGCTTCCAGATTAAGACAGACTAGGAAGAAGGAGAGGTGGATTACTTCCAAATGTTTATCCACAGAAAACCTTATGAATAGGAGTGAAACACCACCAGAAAGCACCAAAATATTGGATATTGAAACATTAGGAACAACAGCAGAAAATTGCCAGACCTAGTGCCAGAAGACAAGCCCCTCAGGTTGGAAGGCACTCAAAATATGACTGGGGAAGAGCTGCCTCCTCAAAGTACAGCTGACCGTGATGACACAAATTGGGTAAAAACTTTCAGGACCTTCATTTGCTGATAGGACACAACTCAAAAGGAGGAGAAAAAGTTGTAGACATACATTAATAATTAGAATATAGAATGTACAAAGTATGAATTTAGGAAAATTGAAAGTTGTCAAAAATAATATGGAAGACATAAACTTTGATATCCTAGGCATTAGTGAGATAAAATGGACTGGTATTGGCCATTTTGATTCTGACAGCTACGTTGTTTACTATGCCAGGAAGGACAAATTGAGAGCAAGACCCCCAGCGAGATGGATTGGCACAGTGGCAGTAGCAATGGACTCAAATGTAGTAATGATTGTGAGGTTGGCCTAGGACTGGGCAATGTTTTGTTCTGTGGTGCATAGGGTTGCTATAAGTCAGTACCAACAACAACAACAACATGTAAAAACTGTGTCTGACCTCCTCTGACTTCACAAGGGGGTGGGGTGGGGGAGGCAAATCACTAGCAGCATCAACTGATTTCTATGAGGCAGAAGTCAGACATGCCTCCTCCTTTTTCCTCCTTTACCAATTCTGACACCAATCATACCTTCCGTAGCACCACAACACTCTCTATTTCTCTTCTGGATTGGATAACCCATTGCAACGGCCATACAGAACTCACAGGTCGTACTAACAATGTTTTTGTTAAGTGCCAACCAGTTGATTCCAATTCATAGCAACTCTCTAGAGTGTTTCCGAGGAGCGATTGGTGAGTTTTGAACTGCTGACCTTGTGGTTCAAATCAACTTTGCAGTCCAGCACATTATCCTGCAGAATCACACCAGGACTCCAGTAATGGGGTTCATTGGGGCAATTAACAGGCTCCAATTAAGCATCAGAAATGCTCAGGATACAGTTTTTCTTGGGTCAGGATAGCCTTTTCTCAGCTTTGCCTGGTCTTGAGCCATGTGGCCTCTTGGCTTTTGCCCTACTCAGGCAAGTGTTATAAACCATCTTTAGTGCTGCTAATAAATGCTCAAAGGCCTCTAGCTCAGTCAGACAGCAAACCTAGCTTCTATGATTCAATGCCTGCAGCCACCCCACTCCACAAGTGAGCCTCCTAGCAGAAGGCACTCAGCTTTTCTTGGTTCAGCCCTCTTCTTTTCTCTGTCTTGTGTTCTTGCTTCTGTTGCTGCTGTTTCTCAACCACCTCCCCATCACTTCTCTGGTGTCACAGCCTTCTGCCTCCTGAATTAAAGAGTTTCAGCACAGGGATTATGGGGTCCAAAGGTATCTCTGCTCCTGGCTCATCTCTCTTGATGATTGTGAGGTCTTCCGTTCCTGCTGCTGCTATAACCAATTAGAGTTTCATACATCCTATTTGCATGGCCCACTTTAATAACAACAAACACAGTCATTTGGTGGGAGTTACAAAGACTATGGTTAGAAGAGTCATATTTAGTAATTCAACTGCACCACATTATATTCCAGAAAATCCTATTTCAAAAATAGCTGATGAGAACCAAATATTTCAAATAATTTTTTGCATAATGGTATTATTAAGGAGCTCTGGTATTGGAGTGGTTACGAGTTGGGCTGCTAACCTTAAGGTCAGCAGTTTGAAACTACCAACTGTTCTGTGGGAAAAAGATGAGACTTTCTGTTCCTGTAAAGATTTACAGCCTCAGAAACCCTATACAGTGTCACTATGAGTTGGAACCAACTCCACAGCACACCACCACCACCACCACCAGTGCAATAAATTGGAATCCTGTTGCGACGACACTTTAGTGTAAGCACCCAAACACAAGGTTGATGTTTCAAGTTCACCAGTCCCTCCTTGGATACCCTCTATATGGTTGCTATGGGTTGGAACTAACTTGAGGGCACTAAACAACAACTGCAATGCAATAAATTATGCTAAAACTAGGGAGTGAAAGGCCTTCACCATTCTTCTCAGCTCAGTTTAAAGGAAACCTAGGGCCAGGTGTCTTTCAGTGCATTCTCACAAAGATCTGCCCCTGCAAGCTCAAACCCAAATGGCAGAATTGTTTTTAAGAGTCTTGCCCCCAGGATACTGCCAGTACTTGTCATTATTTATAGACTGCGGTGCAATGCAGGAATTATGGTACTGAGATGGATGGCCAAAATAGTTGACACAGTGGATTACAACATAGGAATGACTGTGAAGATGGCACGGGACCTGACAGTTTTGTCCTGTTGTACATAGATTGGGTCACTATGAGTTGGAACTGACTCAATGGCACCTAACAACAACAACAACAGTGCCATTATCCCACAGGAAGTCACCCCAAACATTGAGTTAGAGAACATACAGTTTGCAGAACTGGAATTATCCATGGAAGGACAGAGAAAAATGCTTATCTATGAATCACCCCTTATGAATATAGTTTTCTATTTATAAAAATGTGTTTGTTGGTGTTGCTGTTAAGTGCTGTTGAGTTGGTTCTGACTCATAGCAACCCTATATAGGGTTTCCTAGCAGTTGCTGGTGGGTTCAAACCGTCAACTGTGCAGTTAGCAGTCCAGTGCTTATCCTACAGTGCCACCTGTTGTTGTGAAGTGCTGTCGAGTTGATTCTGACTCATAGGGACCCTGTGTAGGATTTTCGAGGAGCAGCAGGTGAGCTTGAACCGCTTGAACCGCCTACATTGTGGTTCAAACCGACCTTGCAGTCCAGAGCATTAACCCATAGCACCCTATCAGGACTCCACAGCACCACCCTAGGACTCCAAAAATGTTGTAGGCATCTGTTATGGGTTGAACTGTTTTCCCCAAAACAAATTAGAATCCTAACCCCCATACCTGTGGATATAACCCTGTTTGAAAAGAAGAGATTTTTCTCTATGTGAATGAGATAATACTGGAGTAGGGTAGGCTCTAACTCTAATTCCTTCTGAGTGGTGTCCTATCAAAAGCCAAAACAGACACAAAGAGAGACCCGAGCAGAGGAGGAAGCAGATATCATGTAGAGATCCCTCTCCAAGTCAGGGAGCCTCAACAAACACTCATGGCTGCTGACATAAAGGAACCTCTCCTTTAGTCAATGTCCTGATGGTGGCTTCTAGAATCCAAAATTGTGAGACAAAAAATTCTTGGTTTTTGAAACCATCCGCTTGTGGTGTTTGTGTTATGGCGGCACTAGATAACTAAGACAGTGACAGTGTCTGAAATTGGAACAGACACAGACCTTCTCATGTGTTAAGCTGAGAGAGGCAGAAAGAGAGGCAAACAATCACATTGCTCCCTGGGATTCTGAGAGAAGGGATTCTACTTTAAAGCCACTATAATTCCACTAAACTCATCACATTCAGCTTTTCAGCGTCTAGCAAAGTGATTTGAATAGATTTGGGCAATCTTTTCAGGATACCCCAAATCTGGTCACAGACTGAGGAGTCAAGCGAGTCCTTTGGAAATCAGTGTACTGTATTGTTTCCCAAACAAGAAGATCATTTATTTGCTCATAAAAACTTGGAGGAACATGAACTAAAAAAAAATGGGGAGAAGAGCAAAAAACATTTTGGATTTGATAGGCATGTTTGGTCAATGCCTCTGAGTGACTGGGTACCTGATTGCTCTTTTGGTTTCATGTTACCTTGGATGTATCATCTTCAATAATATTCCAGGATGTTTCTTTCTTTTTGAGCTTCCCTTGTATGAAAAACACGGCAATGATGGAGACAATTAAGAATATAAGACGTAAAAATATAATGAACACAATCTGAACTGATGAGGGCACTACCTCCACATCTAGTGGTCCTGGGGGCCCACTGTCAATGCTTCCTCCATACCCTTCCTCTTCACAGAATGGAGGGGCCCAGCCATACATGCAGTGGCAGTGTTTCCTATTGTTGCAAATGCCTCGGTTATTGCACTTCTCAGGTAAACAGTCGTACTTCAGATCAGAGAAAGGAACACAACTTCTGTTAAGACATATCTTATTCTTTCCACAGGGGGTGCCGTCATTTATCACACCGGAGTCAGGGATACCCATGGGTCTCATGCCGAGATGGTAGCCTGTGCCCCAACACAGGAGATTTTCTTTCTTCAGATGAGTGTTAATTATTAAACTATGATCTGGCATATCAGGGACCATTTGGACATTTATACACTGTAGTCTGCCACATAATGAATTTTTCAAATCACAGCTTTTAAACACTGCAACTTTTGTTATTTCACAGTTGCCATATTGATCCCCCATCATATTCACAGCATTATAGCACTGAGTCGGAGCATCCTTGGCATCAGGCCCAAAAATGTTCTGGCACTGCATAACTCTGGATCGACACCCCTTACTATAACAATGGGCTTCGTATTTACAAGGGGTTCCATCCTGCTTATAAGTGTCAGCTGGGCAGTGACTTGCGGTCCCACTGCAGTATTCTTCAAGGTCACATTCATTTTCTTGCTGTCTACATACGTATCCAGATGGACGGAATTGACACTCATGACAGCAAAGACCAATGCTACAGTTGGCACCAGGCTTTAATTTACAATCCGGTTGACAACACTTGTCTTTACGACAGTCTGCTATTGTACCACAATCACATTCCTCACCGACTTCCACAATGCTGTTTCCACAACTCTTCAACACATAACTTATTTGTGGAATATTATTTAGACAAGATATTCCTATATTTATGGTTTGGAAATATTGTGTAAAACTACAATTACTCCACCCAGTACGTCCAGTGCCCATGATGCAACTAGTTTTCCCCTTACATTGACAGTATTCCCAATCATGTCCTATGCTAAAACTGTGGCCGAATTCATGAACTGACCAAGTGCCAGGTGCAAGGATATTTTGGTTTGGAAATGAAACTATTGACCCAGAATAACCTTGAGTACACACCCCTCCAAAGGACCATCCATAACTATCAGGGTATATTTTTTGTAAATATAAATGTGCCCAATCGGCACGAATCCGTTTATTTATATCATGGAATCTATAGGATATAAAATGGCCCATAACTATACTTAAAGTATGTACTTTGGTATTAATTCTGTCTCCACGTGTCCATATTTCAAGACCCAGTATGTTTATCCTCATATCAAGTTCCTGAACATAGGTGTCCATAATTCCAGTCAGAAGAATGGCATCACTTATAACTTGAGTTGCATTTGATTTTACAAACAAATATCTATTATAATCAAACAACAGGAACAATTCCATATACTTTTGGTGTTTATAGGTTCCAGGAAAGTCCCTGATCCGAGCCATATCCTCGTGCTGGGCCATCTGCAGTTTTAGTTGCTCATTAGTTAAACCACAGGTCCAATTGCTAAAGTGATCCTTATTCAGGAAATATATAACATGTTCAAATGTGGAAGAATCCTTGAGGGGTTCGATTTGGTAAAGTTCCTCATTAATTTTCAGTATGCCTCGGAGGCCCCCTATGCATGTACTCAACGTAGCTTCCGATTCCTCAGACTCTTCCACTGAGCCCAAGTAATTGCAGACATTCGGTATGTAAGGGTGGTCCTCCACAACATCCCCTTGATCCGTGAAGGAGAAAACCCGCAGATGTCGGGGCAACAGAAACCTCTTGGGCCGCAGGTGGAGGACATGCTTCTTGCCTTTTACCTTCAGGAGGTAGGCCTCGTGCCCGGCCACACCCTGCTCTTCAGCCCGGAAGCTTAGTTTCTTGGGGATGGTGATTTCGTATGAGTCAAACCCCCAGTCAGGGTGCAAAATTATGTCCTCGCCTCGAGATTCAACCAGGAGCATCGCCAGGACTAGCCCCAGGAGTCGGCAGCCTGGGCAGAGGGAGGTCCTCTCTGATGCCATGGCCCAGCTCTGTGCCTAGTAGATCCTCCAGCTGCTGGCCTTTGCGAGGCTGACTTCTGGAGACGGCCGCTAGGGGCGCCAGAGCACAGCGTGCCGTGCTCTGCGCAGAGCTGGGGATCCGGCTTCGGGGTCTTGGGCTAGTTGACTTCCCAGCACTAGGCGATTCAGGACTTTGTTTCCTGGGCGGTTCCGTTGGGCGCACGTGAACGAAGCGAGGGAAAAGTGCGCGAGAATAAAAGAGGTAAGTGGAGTTACTGGCACGTGGGATCGAGAAGGGCCTAAAGCAGCATCAGAAATAGAGAAGAAATAGGAGAAAGAAAAGTGAACTTGTTAATCCCTTCCATTTAGAGTCTGGCGGGTTTGCAGGCCACTGTGCCCACTTCACCTGCGCATCTTTCCAACTTTCCTCTAGGTCGCTTGTGGCAAAGGGGAGGGGCACCTAGACAGGCAGGTGTAGAGAGGGAGCCTGCAACTGGTGGTGTAGACGCTGCAGAGCCCTGAGCCCTCCCACCCTGAGGCTGCTCTGGCTCCAGCTGTGCGCCCAGAAAAGAGACCCTTCTTCCTGCTGTTTGTCCTTGGGGTGCTGTGGTGGGAATTTCAGGAAGAGAAAAGTAGCCAAGATGAGAACAAAGCCCTGAAGCTACCAGAGAAAGACAAATAGTTGGTTATGTTTGTAGTGTGGAGTAGCCAGAGAGGGAAGAAGACCCAGCTCAGACCACGGAGGGGCTTATGGTGCATAAAACTGATAAATCACAAGGCCATGAATGTGTCTGAGGGGATTCTGTTTCTGGAAATTTCATTCTGGGTGTTTTATAGGGACTCGACTTGAATCAGGGAGACTAGGTAAGAGCAATTGTTAGCCATCCAGACAAGGGATGTTGTCCTGACTTAATGACATCGGGACTCACGATATTTATGGAAGGCTGACTGTGTGTCAGGCACATTCTAATTTCTTTACAAATTTGAAACTGTACTTTGGATGCACACACTTAGGTAATTGAACCCAGAGCTTTGATTGATAAACTAGTCGACTCTGTTGTCTCTCTGGGGAAGGACAGAAGAGGACAGCTTCAAAAATTATGGTCCCTATGAAGTCAACTCCGGAGGTGAGTGGGGCGGTGGAGGTGCGGGGTGATGAGGAAGAGAACTCATGAGAGCACTGAGTAGGGAAAAATGCAAGTTCCCAAAGGGTGCTGAGATTTCGTTCCGGTTGGAAAGCCGAGTTTACAGTTTCACCCATCTGTAAATCTGCTGGATGTTTTCAAGCAACACCTGGCAGCCATAACAGAGGAGATCAGCTGGAACTGATTTATCCTTGTTTTCATGTCTTTTATTGTTTTCCTACAGGCTGTAAGAAGGAGTTCTGGTAGTGTACTGGGTTACACATTGGGCTGTTAATCACAAAGTCAGCAGTTTGAATCCACCAGCCCCTCCATGGGAGAAAAATGAGGCTTTCTGGTCCCGAGTAGATTTGCCACCTCGGAAACCCAACCCAATATTGGGTAGATGTGAATTGGAACTGACTTGACACCTAGTAGCAGGCTGTTGGAAAATTTCTTGAGCAGTTCACCAATTGCTGTTGTGGCAATACAGCTGAATGCTGTAGTAGCTTCCTGTTTGTTAAAACAGAGTCCCAGGCAAATAGCCTGCTTTGTCAGCATTTTTTTTTTTTACTTACAGAAATTATGCATGTATATTACAAAAAGGGAGTCCTAGTGTGGTGCTACAGGATAATGTGCTGGACTGCAAGGTTGGTTTAAACTACAAGGTAGGTGGTTCAGACTCACAGCTGTTCTTAGGAGTCGGAATCAACTCAACGGCACTTAACAACATTACAAAAAGTGCAAAATCTCTGAATTATGTACATAGCAAATGAATGACTTTTATCATCTAACCTTGCATAATTCTCCAGTACCCTCCCGTCCCTAGAAAACAATTATTTTCATCTTTAAATGGACTTTAAAAATACAGAAATCATTTCATATTTTAAAATAGATACATGCTCTTCAGATTATTTTGATAATTTTCTCACTAGACAATATATTGTAGATGATTTTCTAGACATTTAAGACAAACTTTGATTATTGCCTTTAATAAATGCATAGTGTTCTCTGTTGTTGTTCAGTGCTGTATCCAGGGAGGACACTGGAACTATGAAGAAACATCTCTTACTCCTGGAATATCTCCTGAGTAACCTCTACTGTTTTTGTTGTTGTTGTTGTTATTGTGCCGTGGAGTTGGTTCTGACTCATAGCGACCCTGTACAGGATTTCCGAGGCTGTAAATCTTTACGGGAGCAGAATGCCTCATCTTTCTCCTGCGGAACAGCTGGTAGTTTCAAACTGCTGAGCCTGAGGTTTGCAGCCCAATTCGTAACCACTATGCTACCAGAGCTCCTTACCCTTTACTGAGGGTACTGAAAAAACAAAAACTCTAAGTCTAGTGATATTAAGTCACTCACGGAGCCTCCATGTGTTGCAGAGTAGAGCTACTCTGTAGGGTTTTCTTGACTGTATTCTTTATAGAAGAAGATTGCCAGACGTTTCTTCTGCAGAACAGCTGGGTGGGTTTGAACTGTCAACCTTCCAGTTGAGCATCTAGAGCCAACCATTTGTGCCTTGGGAAGCTAAGGGGGCAGTGGGGAGATGAGCTGGGTGGGAGGCAGGAGGAGCTGCAAGGGCAGTGAGGAGGAAGTCAGAGCATACCCTCCGAAGGCTTCTGTTTTCCCTGTGAAGTATTGAAAGGGCCCAGACCCACTTTCACAGAGCATGTAAAAAGTATGATTTTAGAATCAAGAGGCTATTAAGAACATAGTCTATTAGGAGGAATTCAGTTAACCTTGTCAGGAGTGGCAAGATTCCAAGATTGAGGAATCATATAGTTAGAGTCATATATTTGAGGCTGGAGCAAGAAACAAGGACATGATACTTCTAGGATGATTCTTCCTGAGCCACAGATAGAATTGCTGAATGGTTTCCTCTCCAATATTCTTTATGTGGCCAACAAAGGACTCTAAATTCAATGCTCCTCTGCAACTTAGTTTTTATTTGTCATGAGTAAATAGAATCTTCCACCCCACAGTCAGAATGCAGCTAATTTGCTTCACTACTTGATTGGATTCAACTAATCACAAGTATGATTCTGATTTAAAAAAAATATTTTAAACATTTTTTTGCATGTGAATTGAGTGAAGGTTTACAAGCAGATCAGTTTTCCATTCAACAGTTCATAAACATTTTGTTTCAAATCATTGATATCCCCAAATCATGTAATCCCCACAATCTATGTATTTCCTCTTTCCATCCTTCCTTCTTTTCTAAGCCTTCTGAACTTTGTCCTTAGGTAAATTTTGCCCTTATGATTGCAAATGATTGATTAAGGTGTATGTACCTCCCTAGTGTTATTATTCCTGTCTAGTGTTTGACTGAAAATTGAGCCGTAGGGGTGAGTTCAGTTCTAGACCTGAAGGATGGCTGAGGATCTTAGTCTCGAGGGTTCCACCAGTTTCTATCTAACTAATAATACCTGTTCTTCCTCTTTTTTGAATTTTGTTCTACATTCTTCTCCCACTCGATCCAGGACCTTCTCATGTGATACCTTTCAGAGCAATTGGTAGTGGTAGTTAGACATCATCTAGTTCTTCCGGTATCTGGGTCATGGAGACTGATGTTCCCATGATCAGTGAGCCCACTCTGGATTGATTGTTTGCAAGCATCTTCAATTTTCTTCATTCTTCCAGACAAGAATGAAACACTGTCTAGTCTTCCGCTAACCTCATAATCATTGCTACTTCTGAGTCCATGGCTGTTGCCACTGTGCCAATCCATCACATTGGGGATCTTCCTCTTTTTCTCCAATCCTTCACTTTACCAAACACATGATATCCTTCTACCATAACTGGTCCCTCTTGATAATATGTCCGAAGCGACAGGTCTGACCAACCTGGCTTCCAAGGAGCACTCTGGCTGTACTTCTTCCAACACAGATCTGTTTGTTTTTTTGGCAGTCTATGGAACTTTCAATAGTCTCCTCCAACACCATAACTCAAATGCATCAATTCTTGTATGGTCTTCCTTATTCACTGTCCAACTTTCACATGCATATGAGGTTATTGTGAAAAGACCATGGTTTGGATCAGGCACAACTTAGTCCTCAAACTGACATCTTTGCTCTTCAATACTTTAAAGAGGTCTTGTGCAGCAGATTTGCCTAATGCAATACATCGTTTGATTCTTGACTGCTGCTTCCATGAGCGTTGATGGTGGATCCAAGCAAAATGAAGTCTTTGACAACTACAATCTTTTCTTCATTGATCATGATGTTATTTACTGGTCCAGTGGTGAGGATTTTTGTTTTCTTTACATTGAGATGCAACCCATACCGAAGTCTGTGGTCTTTGATCTTCATCAGTATATATTTCAAGTCCTGTTTGCTTTCAGCAAACAAAGATGTATCATCTGCATATTGCAGGTTGTTAATGAGTCTTCCTCCAATCGTGATGCCACACTTTTTTTCGTATAACACATCTTCTCTGATTATTTACTTAGCATACAGATTGAATAAATATGGTGAAAGAATACAACAAGGTGTCTCCTTGTTCTTTGTGAACAGCGGCCTGTTGGACTATGTACAGGTTCATATGAGCAAATTAAGTGTTCCGCAATACTCATACTTCACAATGTTGTCCATAGCTTGTCATGATTCACACAATTGAAAGACTTTGTGTAGTCAGTAAAGCACAGGTAAACATCTTTGGTATTCTCTGCTCTCAGCCAAGATCTATTAGCTATGGTATCCCTCATTCCATGCCCTCATCTGAATCCAGCTTAAACCTCTGGAAGTTCTCTGTCAGTATGGTTGCAGCCATTTTTGTATTATCTTTAGCAACATTTTACTCACATGGAATATCAGTGATATTGTCCAATCATTTTCAAATTCTGTTGGGTCACCTCTCTTTGGAATGGGCACAAATCTGGATCTCTTCCAGTCAGTTGGCCAGA